TCTTTCCCTGGTCTGCCTTATTAACGACGAATTTAAGCCAAGGTAAGCAGGTTAGTGTGAATCACATAGTGTATCATAGGGCATGATTGACGCACATCAATAACATTTGTGACTTGACATTTCGAGTCTTTTCCCAGAACGGTTTGTAACTCAAACGCTAAAACGTCTTTGTCCCAAATACATAATATATAAATTTGTCTCCTAGTTACCTGGAATCTCTACAAAACCAAATTCATGGTCGCATCAAAACAACGAATGAAACCATAAAACACCTGATAGTACGCAGGATTGTCGTTGTTTTCCACGAAATTGATTACACGAATTACAACTATCATGCATAATGGATAATTTTATAATAAATATAAGACGTATATTTCATTAAAAGGTACTTAACTCAACAGGTTAAAATTACTGTTTAACCTGACATTACGTAGATCATTGATATTAGAATCGAAAAATAACGTTTTAGAAATTCAAGGTTTGATGAAAGAAACATGAGCTACAATTGCGTGACTATGCACTAATTTGTATCAACTTATAATACAATATACATAATACAATATAATACAATATATAAATAAACATTATATTATAAGATGATATATATATATGCGTGCGTGTGTGTATATATGTGAATATAGTATGTATATGTATATATACATATGATATATATACGACATAACAAAAACTGACGTAGAAATGAAAAAGTATCTGGAGATTATTCAGATCTTCGTTCGCGTTTATTACCATATGCGATTACGAAAGACTATCTACGACGTATAAATCACTTGTAACTAATTATTCAATCGATTGACCTATTATAAATATTCATACAATAATAAAGTATAAGAATAAAAATATGAAAGGATAGCGTTTCTTGCTTTTCCTATGTACGCTTACATTTATGACGTTGTTGAACATAATCAACATGCGAACATTCGCAGCTTTTTATTCGATATATAAAATAAATCCAAGTCCTCGCACATCGATTTATCTTCTGATCTCAAAAATTTGATCTTTTCTTACAGTTACGTCAGCCCATTGTGAGTCGACAAACTCTTGTAACCTTGAACTTAAAACCAAAGTCATTCACATTATTCGAGATGTATTTGCGATTCAAAACGTATCCAAATTAATATAGTCCGTGGCATTTTATTTAATATAAGTCTGGTGTATTTTATATGGCTACTATTATAGCATACAACTGACAACACTCGACTCGTTTTCATTGAGGCGGGATTAACTGTTTTGTTAAGGTCTCACGCGTTTCCACAGAAACAACAATAAATTAAGGAGACCTCAACAAAGTAACCTCGAACGTGAAAATACATACCAATGCGTATCGCACATCATTTTTCCTTATGTTTACACATGCAAGTTGAAGGCAATTAAATCAGCAACCTCCATGCTTATAATTGTTGCATGGTACTATATCATATGTTTGATGTGAAAAATGATACTGACGTAACTTTTTTACGACACGCTTGGAATAATAAACTTATCAATATTTTTATCTATGAATATAAAAAGTAATATTTATGATATACAGAAAAAAGATAATAAATAGTATTTCGAATGATGTCATTTCCTCCTTTTGCTTCATAACATTCGAACTTTATCGTATACTTTTGTTGAATTGGATGTTGAATCGAAAATAAATAATTGTACGTTAGTAATAAAAATTAAGAAAGATAGTAATAAAATAGAACTTAAATTGATTGTAAAATTAAGCAATATCATTTATATGATAATTAACCGTTCTTTTCTTAATTATTACAGAATGCATAATACTATTTATGCTGGGTATCGTTTGCAGTATGTTGGCCTATGTGATATATTTAATCAACCCAGTAAAATTGATAATAGAAACTGTGAGTGATAAAAATTGTAGATTTTAATGAAAATCTTGAACGTGAACATACAAAAATAATCAGTTTTTTAACGGAAAAATAAGTTCATTATATGTGACAATTATACATCGAATATTTGTACAATATTAGTCAGCTTTTAAAGATGCCATGCTAATTGTAAGAACCTGCTTTTCAGAAACTGCAAATGACGCCGAATTCACTAATTTTCGAACTTTGGAAGAAACCTCCCATCGAAGTCTACCTTAAAGTGTACATATTTAACATCACAAATGCAGAAGAATTCCTCAAAGGCGGAAAAAATTTGAAAGTCAACGAGATTGGCCCATATGTTTATCAGTAATAAAAATAAATTTCTTTTCCATTTTGTCTCAAAAATAAGATAAAAATTACTACAGTTTCATTTTTCTGCTTCTAGAGAAGTAGTAGAAAACCAAAACGTCACCTGGTTTAAAAACAACACGATTTCGTATATTCCAAAGAGACAGATACTGTACGTTCCGGAAATGTCAGTTGGTGATCCAGAAAAGGACATGGTTCACGTTCCAAATATACCTCTGTTGGTGAGTGAATATCCAATTTGCAAATTAATCGGTAATGTTATTTCCAATGAACATATGATTAATTATACGACGAAGTAAGTCTGTCATAATTTGTTTTCATTCACAACATTTCCATTGTTTTAATTATGATCTATCGATGATCGTTAGAGAAATTCCAATATAAAAATCGTGAAAGCTTTCAGACAAGGTAATTTAATAAATTGCAGCCACGTACACGCTTAAAGGAAAACATTAATGAATATGCATTCAATGAAAATATTACTGTACGGGATTATCTTTATTAAATCCCACGTGGACAAAAGTTTAGAGGTTTGAGAAGTAAACTTCTTTTGGTAACTATAATAGTATTATTTCAAATAAAAGAACTCTTTCACACAAATGATGCTCTCGTTCATGATGCTTTAAAAACTCTCATTAGACTGTCTCACGTACCCTAGATTCAGACCCTATATTCTCGTATTAATTTCCTTTCATTCTAATTTTTAACCTTTCTCACTCGATGCATTTTATCACTTTCACCCAAAATTCCTCAGTCTAGGGTCATTTCAATTGCTCGTCTTTCACACCTTAGTTTAAACATTCTTTCTTTTCACCCAACCACTCTCCTTTCACGCCTCAGAATCACATTCACATTCTCCCAGAATCATACCTATTTCATTACGTTCCCACATTACTGGCAGTAAATGTTACGACAAGTACATTAATTTTCTTTGAATGAACATCGTGTTCAATCACTGATACAAAACTATATATATGTAGTCAATGTACATTTCTTGCATTGAACGATCAATTGGTGACATTTGTATGATATTCTTCCTATTTCGATACGCTGAGTGCAAAATTACAAGAATTTAAGAAAAGTGTATAGAACGAACAGATAAACAAGAAAAAAAATTTAATTGTAGCAATCTTACAATTATGTAAATTCATGATAAGTGATGTTACGATTATTCAACAATTATTATTCCTATGAAAATGTTTCACTTAACTATCATCCAGTGTCTCGCAATCTCACTCAAGTTGCGAAGTTAATAGCGTCGATAATTATAATGTAAGATTATAATATTATATTATAAGATTATAATGTAAAATTTTAAGATTGTAAGTGATGTAAAGCTTTCCATTGATAAAATAGATGATATAATCGAAAATAGATGTGCCGATATTGAACAGTAATAAATCATAACGAATGTGTTAGTTTAGTAAAGATAAAAAGAAGGAAAAGTAACATTGAATGTTATGACAGAAATAATTTTCAGTGAATTCATTGATATATTAATACGTTAAAAAAATTGTTTTCTTTAAATTACGCGTCCGCAATTGCTTTGAATTTGTATAATTAACGGAAGCTAATGTTGTTTAAGATGTGCATCAAATTTATGCCAGACTGTCTCACACGACAAAATAAATCAGCAATCATTAATAAGATAAGTGAAATTCATTATTCCGTGTCTCAACTATAATTCCTTCATCTTAATAATTTAATTACTCCTTCAATTATCTTGGTAATATTTATAATACACAGGGAATTTCTTCGACACTATCCGATTCTGGATTTTTGGTGAATTATCCTTGGATGAGCCTAGTAAACATATTGGATAGCAAACCGTTATTACATCTAACCGTTCATGATTATCTATGGGGCTATGAAGACGCTTTAATTCACTTCGCAAGTGGAGTCGTGCCAAATTTCATTGACTTCCAGAAATTTGGACTGCTCGATAGGGTGAGTTATTCTATTTTAAAAGGAAACTAAATAAATAAGAAATAAATATCGGTGATATTTTTATGGTTGAGAAATCGCATTAACAAACCTGCTCGTAAAGCAATTCTAAAGTCTTACGATTTATCACATACCGTTAGTATGTCTCACAAAAATATTTGAAAGGAATATTTTTGAAATAACTAATTAGAGGAAAGAATACAAACCTGTTGTTTGCAAATAATAGTAGACACAGAAAAAGCAGCAAAAATACATAACATTATTTGCTTGTACATAAATTGCTCCCCTTCAAACTTGTCAGATGTTATCAATACTTCCGTAACATTGACCTGCTTTTAGCTTGCAATAAATATTATGACTAACAATAAACAATCGGCTAACTATCCTTCATCGTGTTCAATACTTCAATCATCGTACACAGTGTATTATAAAACCTATACGAAAGCAGCTCGCAAAAACGAGCTAATTATATCTGTCATTTTAACAGATAAAGGAAGAAAAAGTCACGCGATGCCTCCTGTTATTGGAAAATACCAATGACATTTGTGCAATAGAATTCACTGAAATGAAAGCTTTCCATCGTGAAACGTTAAAGCACCAAAGAGTTCCGAAAAATGATAAACATCTCAAATGTTAATTACATCGAATCGATAAAATGAGTATATTAAAAGCAACGATTAATAATTAGAACCATTGAGAATATCAACTATAAGTAAATTATAATTCGAGAAAAAAAACAAAGTCGTGATAACTAGGCACGAATATTGCTACGAGTCTTGGAGTATTAATTTGACGCAAATACGCTAATTGCAGAGTCGTGCTGCATATAACCTAGATTATCGACGATATTTAGAAAAATCCAATGAAAAATATACCGGTTGTTGACACAATCAACTAACCTTGTCTACACATGAATCGATCGAATCATTTCAAGTTTTCTGTTACTAAACTTCCATATGCGCGGTTGCGTGAACACCTTGCTCCTTCGGTCGACACATACAAGTATTATCTATACTACGAAATTATAAGGAAAACGTAATATTACGCATGCAGAAGCACGAGGAAAACACGATACTACATACGCACACATCTATATGGCTACAACTGCTCCAAATTACCCACGGTTTTCGCAACTATTTCTAGCCGTTGATCCTTTCACTGTTTATGCATACATGAATTTCAGGGTTCACGGGGTTATTGTCAACAACTCTTAACTGCATAGAAACGAACATCTATGACAGACACGTTCCAAGGTCTGAAAACGTTGTTTCAACTACGATTAGAGCAGCAATGTAATCAAAGATTACACTTTAACGCTAACTTATTGATGTTTATTTGACTTGTATCTTGGATCAATTAATACATCGATTATAACATAGTATCGACTGTGTCTGAATGATGTAAAAAGTACTAACAGGAAGCGAAATAATTCTTTCGTAGCATTGGAAAAATCACTTATCATCTTACCAATGTTTGCTTTTAGTGATATTAGAAACATTGAATTTTATATACTTCAAATCGTGGAATAACCAGTTTACATAGTGAAAGTTATATTTTTTATGTCATTCTTGTGTTTTCTTGATACGGTTGTGCAATAATAAAACTTGTTCGTTTTTCAGTAACGGCTTATGAATTAAAACAATATATCGTTAATTGCATAATGATAGTAAATGCTGCGAATGCTACATTATTACCGTTAGGAATATTAAGTTTAATGCACATATGATCATTAATACAATCGTCTTAATATCTTTTATTAATGTTGGAATAATTTCCCACTTGGATGTTTAGTATTTCAAGCAGTTATTCACGTGGCATTTGTTTCCTTTATTGTTATAAGATATGTGACAAATGTCTATCTATCATCGAGTAATTGCAAAGTTATAATTGAGGATAATGTCCGTTTTTTCGATATTACTGTTTCCATCGTTAGCTGAAATGTTTATTGTTTTATAATACGAATTATTAAAATTAAATAAGTTTCTTAATAAGTTTAATTTTTCTGATTGCAAGCTATTCTTACTTGTAACGATAAAAGGGAAGAAAACAAAGTAATAAGATAATCGTTACGCTATATTATTATATTTTTAATCACAACTTTTTATATTCAAGTTTGAGAAAATTATATTATACGTTAACGAAAAACAATTATTGATAATATTTAGATGTATGACGAAGGAGAAAACATCGTGTTCATGAATGTTGGGAAAAATAAGAATATGACTGACGAAGAAGGACGTTATTTGAGTATCGAATCGTACAACGGCAGTCCAGGAATGTCACAATGGGGATATAAAGAAGAAGAAGGAAATGAGACACATCCAGAGTAAGTGAGAAGAGAGAAGATAATAAAAATTAATTAACAAAAGATGAAGCAAAGAAATTGAATGCTATTGTAAGTTTCTCACGTTTCAGAAATACTATTTGTAATCGTATTAAAGGAAGCAGCGAAGGAGAATTATTCCCAACAAATATAGACAAACACGCTGTATTCAGAATATTCAGGAAAGCGTTCTGTAGATCGATACCAATTGTTTTTAGGAAGGAAGTAGTTGCAGATAACGGTATAGATGGTTATCTCTACAGCATGTCGGACGATTTTTTAGATCCTCCTGAACTGAATCCAGATAATGCCTGTTATTGCCGGAAGAAAGGAAAGTGTCTAAAGAAGGGACTTTCTGACATGACACCGTGTTATTACAGTATGTATCTTCTAATAATTAAGAAATATTTAGTAGGGTCATATACATCTCCAAGTATCGCAGTTTTACTACTAAATTTCGAAAAAGAACTGACTTACCGCAAAGTGACTTGTTTGATGATGTATGTTCCTGCACGAGTTACACGGGTAAACATCAGAATTCCGAAGCTTCCACCTGCGAACGTAGCATCATCGGCTTCACTGTAATATCAAATGTCAAAGTTTGAACTTTGCGTGTAGAATATAGTTCAGAGCATTAAGCATTGTTTTACTTGTTTACGACATTTCTATACAATTCTAGGCTAATCGCCTTTTTGACATAACTAGAGATATAACTCGATTAAAAACGATATTTTTTTATATAATTTTTATCTTTCTTCTTTTCTTTATTTAATAAAATTGAAAAACGGAAATAGAACAATTAAAATGCTACTTAAAATACGTTTGTAATATTAATTCAAACATAATAAGCAATGCAGGTACACAGAATTATATTTCATTTATATACACATTACTTACAGGTATTCCTGCAGCAATGTCGTTGCCACATTTCATTTACGCCGATCCCAGTTTATATGACAAAGTAGAGGGTCTTAAACCAGATCCCGAAAAACACATTGCAAAGATCATTGTGCAACCGGTAATACAATTTTAAACAATGTCTTATTAACATTCGTGAAAAATTATTACTCAATATTTACAATCGTTTTACGATGCACAACGCAGCTTCTTTTGTCAATTTTATTATTTGCTTGGTAATTTATGTAAACATTGCGAGGCTAACAGCTTCTTGAGCAATTTTGATTAGAAACACATTCTCTCTAATGAAAGTGTTAAGCGATATTTCACAAGTAAAGATATAATTCGTGAGAATATCGTATTTAAAAGTCAACTATTAGTTACCAAATCAAATACGATAATGTCCAATGCTCGTGAAATTGCTATTAATACCTATTAAACAACAATGTAATCGTTATTATTTTAAACCATTTTTGATCATTTCAAAGTCGCACGTTAAAATTAACGAATTTCGTTTTCGTAAATTGATGATTGACAAGCCATATCCTTTTCTTCTTTTCCTACAGGCACTCGGTATTCCGCTATCCGTTAACTCGAGAATACAAATCAATCTCGTTATGAGTCATATTTCCTACAATCGTAGGCTAACTGCATTTAATGATATGACAATACCACTATTCTGGAGTGACCTGGTGAGTGTTTTTCATTCAGTTCTATAACATTTAACGTTTTTAATTAAAAGCATTATTAATTAAAAATGAAAATGTGAAATTAAATACCTTCAACTAATCATCAGTAGAAATACAATTGTATCATTAAATTAACTCAGAGTTTAAACTTGATAGTTCAAAGCAAGTATGACAAAACTATAGATAACTTTCTCTTTTATAATTTCTTTCAACCTTTCTTCCTTACACCTTTAATAGCCTTGAGCGTGTTTCAATAAGAACTTATATTTTCCAAAATTTTCTTTATACAAATACGTAGCATTATACTATATATAATCCCTTTTCTAAAAATACGTAAATAAAGTCTTTCTAAAACTGGAACGTTATAATAATGCCTACCGGACGGAGCCGTAATCGATATTTTTGTAAATGCATTTATAGGTAATACCTCCGTTAAAAAATGACCTGCTGTTTCTGGTAAAGCTGATCCTTCAAATACTCCCAATAACACAAATGGTGATAATGTGCTTGCTGGCTATAGCAGGGGTAACAATGTTCTTGTTATCGATACCAGCCATGTTGTGGACCATCAACCAGCAACAAGAATCACTTCCGTCAGAGAGAAGAGATAGCTGCGATTTACGAATACCATTAAACTACGGCCAGTACACAACAATACATATTTTGCCAGCCATCAAGAAAATAACATCTAAAACGGATTTGTTTAGCTAACCAAGTATTTTAAAAGTATTTACAAAGCTCAAATATCTTTAATGGAAAGAAAGAAAACACTTTAATAGGACAAAAAGAAAAGATAAATAAGAACTTTTTCACTTGTTAGAATATAGTATTCTTCTTTTTCGTAAGAAGAAAATGCACCGGCGCACTCTACTACTTGACTCAGAATACGGAAAAAGGTATTTTACGTTACGGTACACATTCAGGGTTTTGCGCTAAAAATATTCCTTGTGGATCGATATAGTTCTATTAGAACCATAATAATTGTTGTTGAATGCTTTAATTCTTTTTCGACACTAATTAATTTTCCTTACTTCTATTTTATGTACTAGAAAATAAATTTGATATTTCATTACGTGCAATTAAGTGTAAAAATAATATTACAATAAGTAACATCATAATCACGTTTTTTATGGCTTACATATATAAACATCTTTATGGTATTATTTATATACATATATTATCAATATTTAATATAATTAATAAGAACATACCGGAAACTAAATAAAAATGAATACTTTTTACTAATGACACCAAACACGATTGGTGGAATTCGTCAAAAAAATGTTTTAGTTACATATATGTATTATTATTAAATACCTAGATGTAAAGCATAAAAATTCAAAAGTAACAAATCACTTACGTATCTTTATTCTTGTATTTAAAATTTTCATTAGATCATTAATGGCTGCATTAAATTTTGAACCATCACTTCGTTTAGTTTCGATTTACACCACCGGAAATTACCTAACTGTACTACTTATATGAAACAAATTTTATATGTTTCGTTACAATGTTTTCTTCTTAACAAGAATAATACTTTGCTAGCTACAATTTTTAGATAATATAAAAAATAGATTATTGTATTTAGATTCAATTTATCAATTATGACAAATAATTATATTTAAGATACAAAAATATATTTCGATTTTGTTTAACGTATTATTTATAATAGATTTACTTTCCAATCACATTAGGAATATGTAATGAAACATTTTTCCATTTTTCAAAACTTAAGCTATTTATTGGTATCTTTAAAATAATGACTATAAACATATTAAGTATGTATATGAATAGTTCTCATATTTCATTTTCTAGGAAATTAATAATTAAAAAATTATAAAATTGAAATTCAATTTATTATATTATATAATATGTTTAAGATATTTAAATTTCGCAATTTATTATTATATTTTGGTTTGTCTACCCTCTTTTTGAAGAAACAATTATATAAGACAACATACAATATTTAAAACTAAAATTTTAATTTAAAAGAAAAATATTTTACCTAACAAAATGTAATAATTAAGCCTTCAAAGAAGACTTATTTGATTATTGAATTACACTTTGATTCCTCAGGATATCGCATTCAAACCTCATTTATCATTTTTATATATTTCTGTTTGTAATAAAGCAGAAATGTTACAACCATTTTATTATATCATTACTTTCTTTATTAGCACAATAACTTTACATACATAATACTGTTCATTTATCAAGCTGCAAAAGTATGAAATATGACATTAAAAACACATTTGTAAGGATTTCAAACAATATATTTAGAGATATATTTTTTGAACTTAAATTTCATAATAAAAGTTAAAAATACAAATGTATATTATCTATAAACTAAAAAATCCTGAAATAAAAAATGCTATACACCTAATTTAATCTAATAAAATACATTTATATTGTATATACATTGTTTACACCTAAAGAAATTATTTTGAATACAATATACAACTTTTCATCTTGAATTTTTTTTATTGAAAATGCTTAAGATAAAATGTATGTATTCGGTACTTGCAATAAATTAGTTCTTCTAATAATATTCCCTAATACATATCATAGTAATAAAGATAACTAAAATAAGAAATATTTTGTATTTATAGAATCAACAATCATAAATCATTTAATTTTTTAAATACATAATCCATTTCAGGTCTGTTTTGTGCCATATGATTAGCACACCATTTTCCCAACATCATTAGATTCCTATACACCTGCTTATTTCTCTCACCTGCTTTTTTATCTATTAATAAAGAAAGATCTTTATCTTCCCATTTGTCAATAATATCTTTTAAAAATCTATTTTCCAATCTAGATTTATCATAAGCTAGTAAGCCAGTAGCTAATTCAAATAAAACTATGCCAAAACTGTATGTATCTACTTTGGTAGATAATTTGCGTCCATGTAAAAATTCTTCTGGAAGATATGGCCTAGTGCCATGAATTTTACTCACCTAAAGTGAAAATAATAAAAAGAGATATATAACGAGATATTAAATAAATCTTCATAGAAATATAGTTTTAGTGAAAGTACTTACTTTCATAGAATCACTCTCAGGACCCTCTCTAGCTAAACCAAAATCACCAATTCTAGGTACAAAATTTTCATCAAGCAAGATATTAGCACTCTTTATATCACCATGTATCAAAGGCTTCTCTCCAACCGTATGTAAATATTGCAAACCACGTGCTGTTCCTTTGGCTATTTCATGACGCTGAATCCAAGATAATGGTTGACTTTTCTGTTTTACTAATAACCTATCTTCTAAAGATCCATTTTTCATAAGTTGATAAATAAGACAAGGTATTTTACCATCTAAACTATATGCATATAGTGCTAAAATATTTTCATGTCGACAGGAGTTTAAAATTTTAATTTCTCTTAAAGATTGTTGAAGTTGAAGTATATGACTTTCATCGGAATCTATTTCTCGTTTTTCTATTTTTTTAATCGCTACATCTGTATTTTTCCAAATACCTATACAATAAAAATGTAGCAAATAATTTATTAAAAATAAAATTAATGTTTTAAGTAATTTATAACTTTTATTGTCATTACCTCTATACACAGTCCCAAAACCACCTCTTCCTAATATATTATATTTATTCCAGTCATTAGTAGCTACACTTAATTCGTTATAAGTAGCATGGGGTATAGTTGCTTCTGTTGTGAGAATACCTGCATCATTATCTTTTTTTCCATTAGTTAGAACATGTTGTAAAGAAGCTGGTACAGGATTTGCTACTGCTAAAGAAGCAACAAGCAAATTATTAGAATTACTTGGAGTCACTCCAACATGAATAATCTGCATTGGTTGATTCAAAATCTTATGAGATTCCTCTTTAGTATTTTCTTGTATAATAATTTTTGGTAAATTTGGTTCTGGTGGTACAATTTGATTAAAATTCTGTGTTCCTATTTTTAAATCTTTTGTATTTTTATTCAAACGTTTTCCAAGTACTCTATGAAGATTTCCTTCTCCATTATAAAGTAACTTATGAAATTTTTCTTCAACAAATGGTTTTAATGGTATCATAGCTTGATAATGCTGCATTCTAGACAGTAAAACAAATAATTCCAATATGGTATGATTGTGATGACCCCATATTGTTAATAATTCATCTGTTGGATTCTTTTCTTTTCGCAAACTTTGTATTGTGAACACATCATATTGCATCCATGTTCCTAAAATTGCTCATTTAATATCAGTCCTTAAAGTCATTAAAACCTTTTATGAAATATTGTTAAATAAGATTAAATATAATATTAGATATTTTCCACAACTTACCAGCAAGTTCTTCCCAATACTCATATCGATTGAGTATTTTACAAAGATGAGATCGTTCAAAAAATGGCAATTGATAAATATATTTAATTTTATCAATACAACCTGATGAAATCATGATCTAGAGATGAAATATTCAAAGTAAACAATAAATATGAAACTATTTAAAGTAAGAAATAAGCAAAGTTATTCCGTATGATTCATTTTACCACAGATGAGATATACACAGATAAGATGAAATTATCAATTCAGTACAAAACAAAATTACATCTAGTAGTAGTATGTAATAGTTGAGCTTAAAAATAAACTTAACTATGAAATTATTCAAAAAATAAAACAATCTCAACTGTTATTAATATATTAACCTTATTTGATACTGAATTGGTAACATTGAAAATGTTACTAGAACAGTCAAAGAATAACACAGAATTGACATAAAAAAACACATTAGTACAATCATATACTTCATCTATAATAATAAGTTCGTTCTATACTCTGTTTATAACATTAAAGAAAATATAAACTTTTTTTTTCAATCGTGGCCCCATCTGTTTACACCATGAGTTGTTAGACAAAGAATTCAAAATTGTTGTTGATAAACTTAGATATAATGTACATAAATATAATTATTTATTATTGTAAAAAATATAATTGATGATAATTAATATTATCAATCTGGCACATTTATAAAAATATAATGTAACATTTTATATTATAATGTAATATTTAATTTATAAAAAATTGTATAAATAAAAAAATTTCACGAATAAAATCACTTTTTTTCTGTCATTTATATCCCACACTTCATATATAAAGTACGTGTGCCCTCTAGAGATAAAATTTGAAATCATGAACAAGAAGTACTCACAACTTACTAAGCGAGTCTCTTATAATATGCGTTCGCCATTTTGAACGTAGTCACACGGAAAACGTTGTATATGTTGTTACAATACGACTGTTTGCATGTTTTAAAAAACATTGCATCTTATAATTCTGAAATCTTAAAAGATAACAAAGAATGGCAGAGTATTTGGCATCAATTTTCGGTACAGAAAAAGACAAGTAAGTTAGAGTTTCCAATTGATGCTTATTAACATTTTTTAAACTGAAATCAGCGTATTATTTTTCTTTATTTTTAGAGTAAATTGTTCATTTTATTTCAAAATCGGTGCTTGTCGACATGGAGATCGATGTTCACGCATTCATAACAAGCCAACTTTTAGTCAGGTAAATATCCTTTTCTTAACCTTACAAGCTCTTTTAACGCTGGTAAATAGCATCATATTATTTTATATTTATATAAAGGAAACTTTTTTCTTGATCTTAGTTGTTCAGTAATAAATATAGTTATATAAAAGAAATTATATAAATATGCTAATTGCTATTTTATTTTATACTTTATTGCTTGATACGTTTGACATGTTAATTTCATTTAATAGTTCAAATAAATTGTTTCAGACATGTTTATTGCAAAACCTTTATGTGAATCCTCAAAATTCAGCAAAAAGTGCAGATGGCTCTCATTGTAAATATATTATAAGTTATATTCTTGTTATTCATTATTAAAAATAATAATATATATATTAAGATAATTAGTAAATATTATCTTATAGTGGTTGCAAATGTATCTGATGAAGAGATGCAAGAACATTATGACAACTTTTTCGAAGATGTCTTTGTTGAATGTGAAGACAAATATGGTGAAATAGAAGAAATGAATGTATGTGATAATCTTGGAGATCACTTAGTTGGAAATGTTTACATTAAATTTCGAAGAGAAGAAGATGCAGAAAGAGCTGTAAATGACTTGAATAATAGATGGTTTGGCGGAAGACCAGTTTATGCCGAACTTTCTCCAGTTACTGATTTTAGAGAAGCCTGTTGTCGTCAATATGAAATGGGGTATGTATTTCTTAAATAATATGAAACTTTTATTATAGGAAATAGTTTTTATAAATTACAAATTTAACTGCTTTTAACACTAGGACTATCGATATTAAATGTAATATATAGTATCAAATATAGTATATATAAGTAATAATAATTAAAGTCATATGTTGAAAATAATTATGTATATAAAATTGTTTCTATCTGAATAAAAATCAATATTATTTTATACAAATTAGTTATACATTTTCAATAATTGCAAAAATAAGATATTTTAAATTAGTCATTTTGACTTGTTTGATAGTTCTAATGTTAAACTTTTTTCCTTTTTCAAGTATTTAAAATACTTTTTATTAAAGAAGAAATTGAATATTCTTCCAGAGAATGTACACGTTCAGGATTTTGTAATTTCATGCATTTGAAACCTATATCGCGAGAATTACGACGTTATTTATATAGTCGAAAGAAAGGTGGTAAAGGTCGATCAAGATCACGCTCGCGATCCCGTGGTCGTGACCGTAAGCGAAGATCACGATCTCGTGACAGAAGATCCAGATCCAAAGATCGCCGAAAAGGTAGAGACGATAAAGGTAGAGATGGACGGTCTGGAAGGTATTAATTATATTATTTTCCAATTGTAATAATCCTTCATAATAAAACGATTTAAATTGACTTATTACACTTATGGCTGTTTTGTCAAAGATAATGTGTTTGCTAAAATATTTTTAAATTTTCATTCATGAACATATTTGTCAAATATATATTCCATTTTCAAACATATTGAATTCTTTTAAGCAATAATTCAAGAGAAAGATATGAAAATATACTTCTATCGAAACAAATCAAATTTGATACATATATAAGTATTTTTAAAATATGATCAAAAGATTAAGTGATATAAAATTACTTAATACATGATTATATAATCAATAATAACACTGTTTCCTCTTTAAGTATTATATGCTGACATCAATAATTTCATTGTAATAATTTGAATTTATGTAAAATGAATTCTCATTTCTAGTAAATCACTGAATCTTTATATATAAACATTATAACTGTATAAAATTATCACAGTATAAAAAAAATTTTGCATGTGTAATAATAAAAATAAAAGTTAGAAAATCACTTATCCTTATTTTTAAATACATTGGTATAAATTTTAACTTAAAAAAGTTAATATATAATACTAGCACACTAGTAATACTTAAAAGGACAAGTTACTTTTATGTATTTCAAACTATATTTAGCATTACTTCCAGCAGGAAGCAATAATCGTTACAGTGTGCAAAAAATTATGTTAAATGTTCATGATATAAAAATGAATAAAAAATATTTATTGGTAAAGAACCATCAGATTAAATTTTAGAAAAGTTCTAAAAAATTCTACAAATATTTCTTAAACTTTTTTCCACAAACACTGATCTGTAATAGGCCAAATTACATAATATGTTATACTGTAACAAAATATATAGCGATTTTTTATGATTTATTACAAACTGAAACTATTAATGTATATTATTCAAAATTCATAAAAATATTTTACAATAAAAAGTACGAAAACTTAGTAGAATATACAAAGAAAGTAAAAGTCAAAACTTAATAGGAAAGAAATTCAAAGTATAGTCGTATTGTAACAGATCATTTGTTCTTTTAAAGTATTTTGGAAAATGAATTTTTAAGAAATACTCATAGAGAAATACTTCTCCCTTTTGGTAAATGGATACAGCTATGAAAAATAAAATGAATAGCTACAAACAAAATTTGATGAAAGAATATACTTTATACGACTTAAATAAATTATTCAATTTTTTTTTTATAAATAATTCTAGAAATAATATATAAACTGAATTATTCGTTTTAACGTCGTAGCTGCATGTATAAAATTGTGATATGCGAATATTAATGAATAACGATATAATGGGATGCACGCAATCGCCATTTAATACAGTCGATATAATAAATCTATCTATAAACTATTGCTTCCTACTTTGAAATGACACGAATTTCTTAACAACTTCGTTAACGTCATTGCATCGATGTATGTGTATACATCACAATGTAGTCGTGAATATCACGGATAAAATATATTATGTCAATGTACGTCTTTCAAATTAATCGGTACTTTTTTAAATGCCGACAATATCAAATACGCATCCATTTGATCTTACAACGCTTCAATGTCTATTTAAATAGACAATACTTAAAAACATCTTAATAATTTTACAGGAATAAATGTATCATATTTTGTGGACATCAAGGTATAATACATAATAGACGCATTTGTGTTTCCTTTTTCCAATGACTATTAACAATTAGCATTATGTAATGTAAAAAGTATATTAAAGTGGTACAATTGAGTCCGACGGAAAAGACGTATTTTGTAGTTTATTCTCATCAGAATTTCTCCAAAATATACTGTATACAATATTTTACTTTACGTATAAATATATACAGTTGTATTACCAGAGCGCACTAGGTATCATTTAGTGTGACTCAGACATGAGATTGAGCAGTGCGCAATATTCTACTTTATATATCTCAAAAGATACACTACCTTTCTTAGTGTAATTTTATTTTATTTTTTGTGGTAGTATAGTGCTTGTGATATCCATTTACTTTGCGTCTAAGCACAGAGGTATAAATTGATTAATTAATTTCTTCTCTTAAGATAACTAACAGCTTTAGTAATGTCCTGCCCGCATCACTTATATCATGAAAATATTTACACTGTTTAGGTTACTAATTAATGATTACGATATTCCATAATAGATTTATAGGATATGAGATCATTGTTTAGGGGGGCTAATCAGCATAAACAATGAACTGTTGATTATCCACATCTGCAACTTCAACTTGAACAAATTGAGGTTGTTGAAGTTGAATTTGTTGTACTTGTCTTCCAATAGCATTACGTGACCTGTAAACATCAAACATTCCATATTACTATGTAATAATTCTTTACTACAATTATTTTTTATTTAAAAAGTAGATTAAAAAGAAAAGAAAAATTAACTGCTTACTTAGCCTTTGCATGTGTTAATATATGTGACTTTAAATTCGTTGATTGTGCAAACTTTTTGCTACATCCATCAAATGGGCAAACATAAGGTCTGTCTCCTGTATGAATTCTAACATGAGTACGAAGATTGAAATCCAGGCTAAACCTTTTCCCACATCCTTCAAATGTACATTGGAAAGGTTTCTCTCCTGTATGAACCAATTGATGCCTTTTCAATTTGGAACTTTCAACAAAGGCTTTTCCACATTCTGCACATACATGCACTCTTGGCCCATGAGTATGTAAATGTTTACGCATTGCACTATTATCTCTGAACATTTTTGTGCATCCTTTATGTGGGCAGGCTATAGTGCGCTCAACACCATCTAGAACAGGTGGTTTGCGTACTTTCAATTTGTGTCCAGGTCTAGCAAACTCTGCCAGTTGCTTTGGGTCCGAAAGGTCAAGACCTGGCATTCCATCAGAAATGGAGCTTCCAGAATGATTGAATTTGGCATTGGATTTACCAGTCATGTATTCTGTGTAGTCTGGATCAGGCTCTGGATTTGAGCCTTCATCTGGAACATCCACCAGGTGAGGAGCTAATAGGACACTCCCTTTAACAACAACAAACAAGCAGTCCCAAACAAAAGCTACTGTATTTATTTTTCATTATTTAAATCACGCATTTTTATTTCTATTAATAGCATAATAAATTTTTACAATGGACAAATTTTTTAAAGAAACATTTCCTTAACCAGGAACAATAATTATTTAAAGATAAAATTATAATATAAATTATAACAAAAGGAATTTACTAAGTATCAATAATTTAACTTTCATATAAAATAAGTGCTCATTTTAAAATAATAGGTACATATTTAAAATGTATAAAATCATATACATTTATATAATGTAAATTAACAAGCAATATAAAATTTATACAAATCATAAATTATGGGTAATTAAAATTTATAAATTTGCTTATAAGAAATTATTTATATACACATGGTAATAAAAATTAATCACAAATATATTTATTTAAGTAGTATTAGGTTTTACTTATACGCAAAATATAACAGAGATATACATTTTAGATTAGTTTCGCGCATATAATTCTAAAATATTATACATTTAATATCAACATAATCCATAGTACATTTAAAGTAAAAATAAATTTTTAATTGATTTCTTTTTTCTTATAATATTCGCATTTTCTAAATTAATTTAATTATTGATTTATATAACACTAAAATATAATAAAAATGCTATAATTTATGTATCTATCTATCTGTTTGACAATTTTTTTTTTAATACTTATGCATTTATCTCGTGATTTATTTGTTAATACATAAATTTATTAAATAGAAATTAAAATTGTTTTATTTCTTTTTTATTCTTTTTTTTTATTTTTTATTTCTTTTTTTTTAAGCAATTTCATATTTGATAGCATTTAAGAAACATAGGTTTTACATTGTATGACGTAAGAAGACAGAATGTTTCATACTCTAAGAAACTAATCAATCTTTTCTAAATAATTTCTGTATAAAAATAATGAATTACAGATGTGATATGATAGAAATATATAAAAACTTATATAATGATGAAAAAAAATGAAATAATAATATATATTTAAAAAGACAAAGATAACACGGACACAGCTTTGTCCATTCTACTGTAAGTACATCTCCGCCATTATCATTCAACAGGACAGATCCACGTAAAAGAAGCCATTTTCAAAATATGGCTGCCCCCTAGTAGCATAATGGCGTTCCCTCGATCAAAACAAACAACGCAAACTGTCAACGATTTCGTCAATAATAAAGAATTAGAAGATCTGATTAATTTCTCTGACAAACCCGTATGAAAACCACAGTATTGATTCGAGACCACCGGAAGTGCGTACAAACAGTGTGCGTGGAGATACTCGTTACGAAAGTATTCTATCCAATTACTTCAGTGTGTTTTATTTAAATTATCATAATAGAAATAAATGTAAAACTTACCGTCATCGGTACCTGATGCCCACATAGTCACCGAGAATTCACCTTCGAGCGTCTTGATTTGTACTTGCTTTTGCTCCCACTTTCTAGCCTTCGTTTCTGAACCCATTTCCCCAAAAATCGTATGATCAGACGATCTGAATTTCGATGAACCGCTTTTCCTGGCCTTTTTAGGACCCTTTCTCGATGGACCAGGGCTTGACTCAACATAAATATCGTTCTCTGGGACCGGGATCTGATCATATACGCTTAGTGGATCACTACCAACGATTTCCTCTTGCGTCTGTAGTATGATTTCTTCGCGTCCTGGCTCTGGAAGTGTTTGAAGAGCTATCATCGGCTGTCCATCTTCTCCTTCGATGGTAGTTTCCACAGTCTCACAAGGTATTTCTACCGGTATTGTTTCTATTTCAACCTCTTGGATATCTGGTTGAATCTCCACTTCGGTTATTATGTCCGAGGACGCCATATTAATCTCCGCTGACGCCATGTTACTAATCAAAATGGCTGGCCACGGTTACTCGCGCGACAAGCGGAGCAGCAAGTTAACTGGTCACGTGATGCACTCCCACCATTACGATTAGTCAAATGGTACTCATTCAAAACTTCATCAATTTCTTTCAGTTAAAACGTTATTTAATATCTTTGTTTTAATATTACGTATAAAATATGAATTCCACATATAATTAATTCTATACAATGTTTTTAATAACATTTACTAATATAATATATATTTTTAAGATCTTTCAATGTATTCCATATATTTCTCTGAGAACCACTAAGTATGCGCGTTCTCTCTCTCTCTCTCTCTCTCTCTTCACCTTTACTACATGGCTACTCCATCTGTTGAGAAAATGAAATAACATTGCAATGTACATTTGTGTATCTAATATAAGAAAGATATAGGTTATAATTTTAAGATTATTGATACAATGAATTTGTCAAAAATTCCAAACGACAAAAAATTATATCTTTGCAAGTGGTATTTTAGAGGTAAATTATGTTAATTTAACTATAATGTTTCACTAATATAAATGTGTAATTGTTTTATGTTGTAGCTGGATTTGTTTTTCTACCATTTCTTTGGACTGTGAATGCTATTTGGTTTGCAAAAGAAGCTTTTGTTGAACCGCATTATGAAGAACAAAAGCAGATTAAGAAATGTAAGTTATAAGTAGTTTAGTATAAATTTAACAAATATTTTTGTTTAAATAGTATAAAATTTGTAGTAGGAAATATAGAAAAAAATAATTATATTAATTGTCATTATTTATTTCATTTATCATACTAATTTTCAAATATATTTTATGGTTACATTAATTTACGTTAATATTTATCGTAATCGTTTAACTATAGATATGTGTATATATAATCACATATATTTTGTCAATATTAACTTTCAGATGTAATATTTTCTGCTATTGGAGCAACTGTATGGTTAGCTGCACTTGTAGCATGGATTATTACATTTCAAACACAAAGAGAGGCATGGGGTGAATTTGCAGATTCTATCACTTACGTGTATCCAGCTGGCATTCCTTGATATTCAGATATACATATCATTATTGAATTGTATATAACTAATTATTATAATATACATTTTTAATGTATGCATTAAAATGAAATAAGACTGTTTCTTTTACTTTGGTATTTAATTACATTACAATAGTCAGAATTATAAAAGATATAATCTTTATTTAATTACAGATTTTAGATGTAATTACAAAGTGCAACATTTTATGCCATTTATAAAAGTATTTAAGTTGCAAAAAACATATTTGAAAAATTTATTTATTTTCGTATATATTCATTATTTTTCACTTAATGTATAAGAATAAAGTTAAACGGTTATTCGCCGTCGTCTATATACTTGTATATCTCTGTAAACTAACCTTGATAAAAACTAAAAAAGTACATGTTAAATTAAAATGCGAAATATTCAGTAATTTTTAAAGAGTTAATTTTGAATAAACTTACCAATAATGCCATCATAGCTGCAATCATCAGCATGTAAAATACATTATGCCATCCAATCCAATGTGCTACTACTCCTACTACTAATGGACCAACAGCAGCTCCAATACTGCCTGTACCATCAATAATTGCAGTAACTGTAGCTAAAGCTTTAGAATTGTGTCCTAAACTGGGATGAGTTCCTAGTTCAGCAGATACTACAGTTGTTATCAAAGCATAAGGTCCATTTACTAATAGGCCAGCTATTAGTAGTAATACTATGTTGGTTACCAAATCAGTGCTTCCAATGTAGTCATATATGAATAACTATATAATGAGTTACAAAAAAATTACAGCCTATAGAAGTAAATAATTACTAATCTCGTGATATTTAAAATTTTAAGTAGCTAGAAATTATTAATATTCTTAATTATTTGTAAAATAATTGAGTTATTTATAAATGTTTAATCTAAAAAAGTTTTTTAGTGTGTATTATATAAATTGATATATACCATAGGAACTGCAAATCCAAACATGACTGCACATATTAATGCACTCATACCACTATAATCTGACAAAACACCAGCTGCTATCGCACCTATGATACCACCAACATCAAATAGAGTAGAGAGATCTGCGCTTAACATTGCACCATAAGTAGCTAAAAATTGATAAGAACATTTATAAAGCATTTTAACATGAAATATATCATTTGAAATTATAATTTTAAGAATACTAACTTGAAGCTGCAATATACAATGGTAACCAATACAGGAATGTATAGCTCACAAATTTTGCAAAAAATAAAGAAAGAGAATATTCTATGATTCCAGGAATCATCATAGCCTCTATGAATCCAATTGCATTTCCTCTATGAGTTTCTTGTACATGTCTATGCCTTGGCAGTATTGGACTGGTTTCAGATCGTAAATTTGCATCCTTTAAAAGTAAAGTTTTTATAAATACTAATGTGAGCATAGAAAAATTAAATATATATACATACATGCAAAATTTTATATTATTATAAAATAAATACAGAACAAACAATATAAATATTAAAACATTATAAGCACCGAAATTCAAGTTATGTTAATATATGGCATATAATATTAATTACAAAAAAAAAGGAAGCATGCACTTACGTCAACATCGACTTGTTCGCGGTAGGCACAGCGATAGATCAGACGCTAAGTACAGTAAATGAGTATATTATAACATATGAAAAAGAAATATAAATGGAAAATCTATCAAAAATATTTTTATTACTAATTTTAGTTAAACTTAATATTATGAAATTAAAGAGTTAATAATCACTTATTAATAAAAATTATTATTACACATCTAAGCATTTTATTATCAAATAAAAGAAAGTTAAATTTATACTAACAACTTATTTTATAATATATTATATGCATGAAATATCTAAAATATCTGTGAACTACATTTTAGTGCTACAATAGATAATATTGATTACAAGATAACACTGTTAGTGCATAACATGCTAAGAATTGTATAGACACCCTATTAAAGAAGTATTTAACTTACATCTTCTGCATCATTATATAAATTTTCACAATCATCGGCACCACTTCCCTCATCTGAGCTATGAGCAGCATCAAATTTTCTATATCTAGGTGAGATAGGTGGTATACATCCTACATCTATAGGGTTAGGTGCTAAAAATAGGAATATTATAAATCCTGCTAAACCCATTATTATTCCAGGTACCATGAAACTTAAACCCCAATCAAATTCCACAAATGCAGCAGCTATTAAACTGCCCATAATGTTTCCTAATGATGTATGAGAATTCCATATTCCAAAGATTAATCCTCGTTTTTCCTTTCCACACCAATTTCCTACAACTGTAACTACACCAGGCCAACCTGATGTTTGGAAGACACCACCAATCGCCTAAGTATAATAATAATTTATGTTGACTTTGTTTAGAATAAATCCATTTACATAAATAATAAATAATTTGCATATACTTACTTGAATCAAAACAAAATACCACAAACTATGGATATTATATGGCCTAGCAATACCAAACAGATAACACGATATACCAGATGTAAGCATGCCAAATGCAAGAAAATATCGTAAATTTACTCTTTCTGCTATAAAACCACTGTACATATAAATGCAAAATTATTATCGAAATAATTTATATGATCTTTGTATCACAAATAAGCTCACTTCAATATGTCACCTGAAGAACATGGCTGCTGCATATGCAAATAAGAATGCTGAATCTAACATGCCAAGTAATGCTGGAGCATCTGCAGTATCTATTTTAAAAAAAAAAAAAAAAAGAGGATTGTTTATATAAATACAAATCATATTAAATTTGAAATTGTTATAAAAATATTGATATACTTGCCAAATGGAGCCCAATCACACCATGTATCTCGATTACTATTATTGATCAAAAAGTTTGGTGGTGGTGATAAAGTACTACAATTAAGGCTCAGTACATTTTTTACAACAGACATAGGTTTCCGTGTCATATGATAACAAGTATATGCCAAATATGTCAGTACTAGAATACCACCTTGATGCCATGCCATTCGATTGACACGATGGTGAGGATAACATTTAGAAACTAAATGTTCTATAGCTCGCAAACCCCATGGTTGATCTCTCAGTGGCCCAGCCATACTTGTTAAAGTATATTTTCTTGTTGTCATTAATTAGCTTAATTGGATATTAAAAATATATTGAAATTTAGTATATAATTATTACTTTATGTATTTTGTACCCTTTAACTTTAATTTTTATTTTTTTACAAATCACTAATTATCTTTTATTTTTATTATTTAAAATGATACAAAAATGTCTTTAACTGTATATTAATACTTTAGAAACAATAAAAGGCAATAAAAGAGTTTCTTCTGGAGTCATTTAAATTTATAAGATTAATCACTCACACATAATCCTATCTATAAAGTACAATACCTAATTATCTCAATAAATATAATATGGTAATATAAACTTTACAATATTCTTCATAATTACACTTTATAATTTTTATTATATTGAAATAACTATGAATATTTTGCACTATAATATTAATAGTATATACTTTATTTTTCTTTTTAATTTTTTCAATGTCACCCTTTTTTGGAATTTTTCTTCACTGATATATCTATCATATTAAACATTTTTATCTATCAATGGTAGAATAACTTTCTTATAGGAATCACAACTAAATGGTAAATTAGACAAAGGAATAAACTATGACTCATAACCTACACAGACAAAACGTAAAAAATGTAATAACACCATATACTTAAAACATTATCTATGGTGTATAAGTGACGAAATACTATTATTATATTTTTAAAGCTTTTAAAAAATACAAAAAATACAATTTTACTTTAAATTAAATGGAATGTTTACTATGAATAAGATCTAATAACTACGTAAACCATATGGTAAACTCAAAATATGTATACGTATCCTTATTTATGCCATGAACAAAACTCACGAGCTAATATAGAATTTCCAAGATTACTTAAATTTGAATAACTTTTTTTACAAGCTTAAAATTAAAATTAATAAGATCTTATTTTTATTTTAATATACTATAAAATGTAAATTATAAATATAATGTATATAAAATTTACTTATAGATATAACCAAATTAATGTTAATGCTTTAATCCAGTATATTGATTTAATAAATTAAAATTAATTATATACTTCACTCAAACAAAGTAATGTAATATTTTGTATGACATTACATAAATTGAAATATCAATCTAGAAAAGGATAAAAAATTGTACTATGTTCTTTATTATCTATGGTCATATTTTACAATTCTTAAAAATTTGCGATTATGATGTTTAAAAGGAGTACATGAAATAATATGCTTCTATTTGTCAAGAAATGAAATTTACTTTATTCCACTGCACTTAACGAACAGTATGTTAAATTATAAATAAACTAATTTTTGTATAATTATTTCATTATGATGAATTCTGATAATTAATGCTTTCCGAAAACTTTTTCTTAGGAAAAGATGTTAAGTTAAAAATTACACAGATTTAAAATATTTGCAATCTATTCTAAATCTCAAAAATTTGTTTCGAATATTGAAAATTAACTATTGGAATTAAAACATAAGTTAAGGAAGGTTGAGTTAATAAATGATGATTAATACAATAATGTACAAAGGAGGACTTTTTAACCACAAACAAGATATAAAAGATATATTTATTATCATTTTATTTATGACGTAGATAATACAAATTTTCAGTGTTACGTTTTATAAGTAGCATAAACAAGAATAATGAAAAGTAATTAATTTATCACGATGCCCGATGACAATTATGAATCTATCATTCAGTGGCATCCAGAAATGATATTAGTTTCTAAAAATCCAGTAACATGGAAAGGATTTTTAAATATTCCGTGCAACTCAGGTCGAAATATGCGTGTTAGGTTAAAATTGGTAGTACATAATTATCCGTCATTACATGGTGCAGAAATCAATTTTGGTAAAGAAATTGTATATTTTAGAAATAAAGAATTTAGTGAAAAGGTAAAAGAATTATTGCATAATGTATCTAAAGTATCAACATTTTTAAAACAACTACAATCATTAATTGTGAGTATAACAATATTTTTGTTTTTTGTTATAATAGTAATATATTAACTAATAACATTTATGTTACATATGTAATAGCAAAAATCTTTTTTAAACAGAGTAGCTATATCATCAATAGTTCTCTCAATGAAAATAATGGCTATGAAGAAATAAACAATGAAACAAGGAAAGTCTTAAAAGAATTGAAAGATGTACTTGAAGTATCATCCGTATGTAAATTTATACAACTATTATTAATATGAAATAAATAAAAAATTTCATATGTTTAAAATCTTAGAAAATGAAGTCTTACATGTTTGAAATCATATTATTATAGGAAATTAAAGTATCATCTGATAGCAGTTTAAGTATAATCAAATTATCCTTAAACAATGTGTCTATAAGATTGAAAAGAATAAGAAATAGTACATGTCCATGGACAATTGTTTATTCAGATTTACCTGAAATACCTGGTTTTGAATCTTTTGACAAAAATATATTAACTTTAACTATAGCCAGAAATAAATTTAAATTACAAATAGAAATACTTGAGAAAGCATGGTCAAATTTAAAGCAAATTGATGAGTAAGTATATAAATATATTTATTTTCCATTTCATTATTAAATTTTAAGTTAACATATGTATTACATCAAACTAATTAGGAATTGTTGGATAATAGACCCATTGCAACCAAAACCATGTCATCTTTATCGGCGAATTTACTTATCCCCATCTTCATCAATGTTCATTAAAATAGATCCTTTAAATTCTATGGATATACCAGAAATAAAATTTATGGGTAGTGATACAGATGTTCAATCAAATATAGAGCTAGTTTCCAAGAATTTACATGTATGTAATGTTTAAAGTATACTATTGCTTTTACTTTGTAACAGGATTGTAAAATGTATTAAAATATATGATTTTAAAAAATTAATGTTGAGTGCTATAATACTTTTTCAGAATTGGGGACCAAAACATGATATTATAAATAATTTAAAAATGTTACTAAATATAGACATGTTTCCCAAAAAGGAAGTAAAAGAAGAACCCACAACAGATTACAACGCTGTTGTTGCCGATGAAGAATGTTGTATTTGTTTTTCATTAAAATTAGAGAATAATCTACCTGATAAAATTTGTAATAATGAAAAATGTAGAAGATATTTCCATACATCATGTCTATTACAGGTATAGTTGTATACATATTAGATAACTTGTAACTATTCAAGCATTAGATAATATTTCCAAATATTTTTTTTTTTACTTTTAGTGGTTACAAGCAGTTGCTGGAAATCATGTTGTATTTGGTCACATTCATGGTTCATGTCCTAATTGTCAAGAAAGTATATCATGTTATGTTGGATAACATAATTTAATTATATAAGTTAAAAATGATTTTTATTAACATAAAATATAATAAAATAAATATAAATAAAAATAATTGTTAAAATAATTTTTATTAATAATTTATTATTCAAACACATGTACATTTGTGTAATTCATGCATTTTATCCATTGTTTAACCGAATTATTAAATTGTGTAGTACCACATATCAAAATCAATGTAGTATTAGCTATTGTATCTTTAAGTATTTCAAAAACTGATATTTTATCTAATTTTCCAGATTTTATATTTATACCATGGAAACCAGAAACATCTAAAATACAAAAGATAAGCAAGTATTTTTTATTATATAGAAATATAATCTCATAATAGAAGAAAAACTTATTAATAAAGATTGCCTGACTTTTCAATTGTGATATGTACAATGTACATTTGAAATTCCAATAATCAGATAAAGTTTGTAGTTCTTTCTTCAAAGGAATCTGCAATATATTTTTAAATCCACCAATGAGATGAATTTTTGTATCGTCCAATTCATCATTTACAATTGATTTAGCTATGGGATAAACTGCAGTTATTCCTGATCCCATACTAAACATAATAATTGTCTGAAAACTGAAAATGCATGTAAATTTTGAAATAAATTTTATATCATCTAATTTGTATTAGTAATAATAATTGAAATTACATGTCATATTATATTATTATAAAATTAAGCTAACTAAAAAGTAATAATTTTATAATTTGCATACCTATTACTTTCATATTTAAAGTTTCCATATGGTCCTCTAACACGAATTATATCATGTATTTTTGTATTTCTTAAATAACGACTAAATTTTCCGTTTGGATAAAGTCTAATTAAAAGTTCAATAGAGTCATCTGTGAAACAAATTGGTGTGAATGCTTTGGTAGTATCATGTAAGTGTAACATAACATGTTGTCCTGGATCAACTAATATTTTCTTATCATTTCTGGTATTATTTTCTATAAATAATAAATATTAATAACATTATAAAAGGTATTATATAAATAATTCTTTAAAAAATAAAGGACTATACCACAATATTTCAAAAAGAGTAAAATATAACATTCAGATATTTCTCTTATATCAAAAACTATAAAATTTTTGTATATGCATAAATCTAGTACATTTTGATTATTTTGTATTTTTATGTTTTGCTTCTTTTTCCTTTCATATTCTTCAATTAACTTTTTATGTATATCAAAGATGCAAGGATCACATCCAGTGTGGCAACAATCTTCCTCTGATGGTGTTACAGGCCTGCTATCTTGTTTCTTTTTATCAGTACACATACTACATAAAACGATTTGACCTTCATGTACATAAATAATATTTTTGCGAAATAAAATTTTGTAGAAGATAATACCGAATTTTTTTATTTAATTCTACTAAATTCAAAATTAATAATTTTATATTGTTAAGAACATAATAAATAGTATTCTTTATTAATTTGTTTACTTCCTTTTATTTTGCAAAATGTTTATCAACTCGATGATCCCATTTTGATACCAATTGATATGTATATTTTTGTCACGTGATTATACCTACTAAACTTCAATGTTTACTTTGAAAAATTTATTACTTCATTTTTATATATAAAAAGAATGATTACAATTTTATTATCTATATGATGTTATAATTTAAACAAATTTTGATATGGAATATATATTTTATATTTGATTGATACATATATATCATGTGCATAATCTATAAGTTATTAGCCATCAGCTGTTCAACTGTCAAAAATGTTACACTTCAATATTGACATATATATGAAAGATAAGTTAGATTTTTTATTCCTTACGAGGTTAAATTTGCTACAAGATATTTGAAATACAATTTGCGGAGGCAAAGAGATATTAGTACAATGGACCATAATTATCTGTTTATTATAATTGATGACGCAGCGCACCAAAATGATTCGCAAAAAGAGTTGAAGAAGAATAATATTAAAGGCGATATGAAAGTTTCAAATATTCGTGGTCCAATAAACTTGTTATATCATAATAATTTAATGTTATATTGTTATATAGCACAATTAGTATTTTTATTTAGTTAAAAGTTACATGGTGTAGTGTTAAATTTTCAAAACAAAATGGAACATGCGACTATAGGGTGGAAGCGTTATACACTGGTACAACCATCTCTGATGATTCTAATATTTGCTCAAGCAATATCTAGTAATTATAATATATATTACATATTAACATTTAATAACACTATATAATATATAGTACAAAAATATTGACATTTTAAATTTTCATAATAAAATAACATTTTAGGTAATATGTTAAATAAATCATATTTTATTATGCATAAAATATATAAAAATTATCTTAATGCAATATTTTAAAATTATTACTCAAATATAGTATTCATTAATTGTATTAAATCAACGCCATGGCATTACTACTATATGTAATTTTTTATTTCTTTGGTGAAATAAATCCTTTTATGAAACCTGTAATTTGTTTATTATTATATTTGAATAAATTTATCTGTAAAATGTAACTTTAATTTAAATTTTAGGTAATATTTTAACAGATTTAATAGTATATCGTACTTGTAGTACAATATTAAATATAAATAAAACAGAATGTTTGCTATTGCATGAAAATAGCAGTTCTGCAGAAACATTGAAAATAGATGCACAAATTCAGCCCAAAGCAAGCTTAATTTTAATGACAAAATCAATTATTGAAAGTATTATACCTGCTTTGTTGTCTTTATTTTTGGGACCATGGAGTGACATAAATGGAAGGAAGTCTATCATATTGTCTGGATATATTGGTTAGTATTTTGTATTTTAAAAATTAAAATCAATTTATTCAATTTATAATTAATGTCACAGGTGTATCACTGACATACTTTATTCTTTCCTTCATGACTGTTTGGGAAATAAATCCATGGTATTTGTTAATTGCATATATTCCATATGCATGTTGTGGAGGATTCTGCATAATTTTACTAGGTACTATTTGTTACATTTCTGATATATCAGATGATCAAGAAAGAGGGTGGCAATTAGCTTGGATGGAAGTTTTGATATCTGTTGGTATTTTAATTGGTATATTAGCTGGCCCTGTTATTTTTCAATCATATGGATATACAATTGTATTTGCTATTGCTACTATATGTTGCATTTTAGCAGGATTGCTTATTTGCTTTCTAGTTCCTGCAACTACATACAACACAAATTCAGTATGTATTTTGTAATGCTTAAAAATACATTGATGTTACTAATATTTTTTTAATGTTTTTAGATAGGTGTAAGATGTTTATTTGAAATACATTTGATTAGAAAACTTACCAGTACTTGTACAAAAAAATAAGATGATTTTGATTGATATACATGCTTAAAAATATATTGATGTTACTAATTATCTTTTCAATGTTTTTAGATGACTGTAAAAAGTTTATTTGATATACATTTGGTTAGAAAACTTATTAATACTTGTACAAGCAAACGAGAAGGTTTTAATCGATATATAGTTTGGTGCTATATAATTTCTATTATTTTAATGATTATTCCCTTACAAGGGGAAATAACTGTTGGCTTTTTATTTGTAAGTGCTAGACTTGGTTGGGATGTAAATAAATATTCTATTTATACAGCTGCAAATATAATACTTTCAATTCTTGGACTGGTATTTGGAGTAAAAGTCTTGAAAATGTATGGAGGTAATATATAAATTAAAATTTTCATTAAATCCTTTTGGAAAGTTTAATAAAAAGGATATGTGATTAGGAAAGATATTTTTATAGGATTTTCTGAAGAAGTATTAGCTATATTATCATTATTATCCTCTGTGAGTAGTTGTTTAGTACAAAGTTTTACATTGAAAACTTGGCATATGTATTTATCTGCAGTTATTGGTATGTTTGGTGGTGTTGCTACTCCTATGATTCGTGCTATACTATCCAAATTAGTACCTCCAGCAGATACTGGTAAATATTATTAAATAAGGAAAAATTAATACAATTTTTTCTTTTAAACATGAAACTGAATATTTACATAACTTTATAGGTAAAATATTTTCCTTAATCATATGTATTGAAACATTGACCCCACTTGTGGCATCTTCTTTATATAGTATCATTTATTTACATTTTATGCCACCTATATATCCATTACCAGTTTGGTTACTTTCTGTAGGAATTTATATTGTTGCAATACTTGTTTTAATACACATACAAATTCAAAATGCAAAACCTAACTCTGTAAGATACACATCATTGACACAAAATGGTGAATTACCATCATAAACTTTGATAGATGTTTATTTTAAAGACATTTTACAGTGAATATATATTTTTAATAGAAGAATTTAGTATTTGTTAATGCAAATATCTTGTAATGTATTTTATACATTTTATTATTTCGATGTAACAATAATATCAAATAAAATATAATCAATTTTAATTAATACTACAAAAAAATTTATTTATTTATTCATTTTTTCGTATAGTGAAATTTAATAATAATTACAGGAATGCAAATGATTTGTGTCGAAAAATTTACGTTGTTTATAATTCATCATTATAGTCAACATGAGCACCAGATTTATACTTTTGTTCTTTAAGAATTGTTAAAAGGCGATTAACTGTTTGTTCACAGGTTAAAACACGTTTTTTCGTTAACATATCATTAAACTGTGCTTTAATTTCCTTGTCACCAACTTTAGTGCAAATTTCAAGATACATATCAGTTTCAACTGGTCCTGGTGAATAATTTATTACGTTGACCTGTGGATTTTCTAATGCAAACACCTGCAATATATATATGATATACGATATAAATATACGATATAAAATATTTAAATAATTTACATTAATATAAAACCATTACTTTAAAGAACATTTCTCGGGCTGCTTTTCCACTACAATAATAACCCAATAGTTTTTTTGCTTCTATGCCAAGCAGTGATGTAATGTTTACAATTATTTTTTTTGTATTTGTACTTTCATTAAATATTTGCATAATGACTCCATTTAATATAGCAGGAATAAAAACATTTAAATTAAAATAGTCATGCCAGATACTTATGTCAGTCATATCATTTGTACACTGATTAATATTTCCTATTGAACCAACATTATGTATTACAATTATTTGATCAAACTGATTTAAAGGCTCATTATTCAAACACTGTGTTATGATATCTAGAAGATATATATATATATTTATATTTATATTACATATATATGATGTGCATGCAAGTGCACACACACAAAATATTTGTACTTACCATACAATTTATCTTTTGTTGCTTTGGCTAAATCAACACTAACAATGTGAACAAATATACTTGCAGGAATACCTTTTGCTGTTTCTTTTAAAGCATCTAAATTTGTAGCTAATAAAAGAACATGTGAACCTTTTTCCAGAATTGAACCAAATGATATTGCAATTTGTTTTCCAATTCCACGACTTGCACCAGTGATTAATAAAAATACTTTTCCTGATAAAGCTTTAGTCGACATATTACCTCTGAAAAATTACTTCTATATTCTTAATGCGTACTTTGTTTATTTGCTACTGTTTCTGTGACAGTTTCTTCTTGTTCTGTAGATTCACTAATAACTTGAAGAACATCAGCTTTCAAAAGATGAACTAATTCACTAGCAGTTAATGCCTACAATATATATTACAAACTTTAAATATAATAACATTTACATGATAAATCACTTTTTTAATAATAAATACACATTATGTATGTTTTTATAACTACCTGTAAATGAGGTGCTATGTGTCTTATTAAAGGATTTGAAGCAAGTTTAATTTCTTCTTCTGTTTCAAGCTTACACCCAGAAGTTATTAAACGTGCAATGGAATCTTCTTTTGCTTCAAATAAAGATGTTACAAGATCTTTCTTTGATGTACCTTTTTGAAGACTGCTAAGTCTGGAATCTACATACAATTTTATAATTTATAAAAATTTGAATAGAATTATATTATTTAATTTTTACTATCTAAAGTAACAAATTAGAAACAAAATAAAATAAAAGCGAGGAATTAATATAGTTTTAGCAAAAAGTTTTTAACGTAAAATTGGAAACTACACAATAATATGTTACATGTTGTGTATAATTATATAAATAAAAATGAAAAAGTAATTTTATTCAAACTTACAAAGCTTTCCCAAATATTCTTCTGAATCAGCTAATTTGGTATGTTTTGATTGATTTTCTACAAAGGAATCTTCAAAAAAATTTTTACATTTATCGTTACTGATTTGTGAAACATCTGTTTCGCACCATGGATCGGAAGTATCTGACTTCATCTTTTACGTAATTACAAATTAATATTGAAATATCTCTACAATAATTAATTTATTTCTTTTTGCACAATTAAAATTAATATGTATCTATCCACGTAATTTATAATTATGTGCAAGTTACTTGATTACTATAGCAAATGCCATCTATTTTTACTGACATACTAACATCTAGTAGTAAATAAAATGTCTATACGTCATGTACATATGTAGTATTCATAAATAATTTTCAGATATAAGTTACAGTTAGTTTTCAAAATTTTACCTTTGTTTTAAATATTTCCAGTAAATTTTTTAATTTAAATCAAGGATTGCAAATTTAAAAGTTTTTAAATTCAAAATTAATTCCTTTTTTTAATACGAGTATATAATTAATATTAATTTTTTATTATAAATATATAAACAATTTGTTCAACGTTCTGAATATATTTTAATTTAAAGTTTTGAAATACTTAGAAATTTTCACAATTATCACAATTACCAAAATAAACAAATATCATAATTTCTACTACTTGCATAATAGCATTGTTACAAAGAGATTTTTATTTTATGTTATATGTATTTACAGACATATGAATTCTTTTATTTTTTTTGTATATGTCATCCGTGTATCTTTAATATATATTTAAATTCATGACCTCTAAATGTTATTAAATATATTATAAAAACACATTGTGCAGTTTTTATGAGTAATTTATTATTGGTGTACAAATATACAATAAAGAATAATTAACATAAATTTGATATGATTAAAAAGCATAGACTAATATAGAAAAATGTTTACAAAAATATTATTTACTTTATTATGTAATATAAGGAAATATTATAATAATTATAATACTATTTATTACAATATTAAGATATCTCAGTCTAAAATAATTTATCTATATGTATATATATACTATGTTACTTTTGAATACCATGATTTTTTAGTAATTATGACTATATGAATTGTATAGTAATGATACAATATTATATACATTAATTCACATAATATCCAGAAATAACCTTAAGTACCTCTTTTTTACTTAATTGTAATAAAGATAATTTAATATTGTATGTATTAAGTTATTTAATAAACATATTTTGAAAATTGATAATAAAATATTAAATCGGGAGCATAATATTGCAATGAAAAAATTTATATAGATATGGAACTAAAATAAATAATGTAGAAGACATTAATTTTTCAAATTATAATCAAAAACATTTTTCAATATAGTTTAAAAAATTGATACTTATTATAGTTCATTTTTCAATTTCTTTATTCAAATCAATATTGCTATTTTTCTGTGGCAATAAATTATAAAATGATAATATGCATAGTATATCTAAATACTGACAATACTTATATGCATAAATTATTTTCTTTTCATTGATAGTGTACACTCAATTCATAACATTAATATCAAAGATTCAGGAACATTGGTTCTATAAAAGACCCATGAAAAACTTTGGAACTTAATTAACGCAAGTACTTCTATATACTTTAGAAATGTTATAAATATATTTCAAATTTTGCATTTGCAAAATATATAATTATTTTCAGTTAAATTAAAAAATTAAAAAATCATGAAATATCCTTTTAAACTAAATTATTTTAAGGTATATCAATTTGAGCAAAAATTTGTTCAATTTTTAATATAGTAAAGACAATAAAATTGAGAATGAAAATTACAATAGACAAAAACATACAAAATGTTATTATATGTTAAACTCTGGAAATATGTTAATATGAAGAATTAATATTATAAAAGCATTTTTTTAGGAATAATTAATTATTTACTTAAATGTCAATTAAGCATGTTAGAAGAACAATGAAATTATGTTTGAATACTATTTCTTTTTACAATTAACAGAACATTTAAAATTTAATCAAATATTTTAAAATATTCAGTCAGAAAAGCTTCGAAATATGTATACAGATTTAAATAAAAATAATGAAATGATTCATGAACATATAATTCTGCATTTATCTTCAAGTTGTTACTCTTTATTCTTCCTCTTTTTATTGTTATGCTTATCTTACTATTATTTGAAAATAATATTTGAATCTAGAAAATCTAAATAACAGTATTTATTGAACATAATTTAAAATTTAACTCAACTAATTTATGACGTAATTTGGAAACTATATTTAAGACTAATCAACAGTCTTAGAGCTTCTTATGTTTTATGTACAAAAATTATAGAATTTGACAGAATTTAAATTTTATAATCACAGCTCTTACTAACATTTCCAACGTTATTTTGTAATATTTCATGGAAGGGTTTTGAATATTAATTACTTTTATAATTATGTTTCACACATAGAAAGAATTTGCTTCTAAATAGATAAATTGCTCATGCAAGTATATATATCATATAAAAATGTGTTGTTTAATAATTGATTTGATTTATGTGCATAGTAACAATGCAGTATGATAGTTTTAATATGATGTATGTCTTTTGATGCATTAATGATTTTACTAAAATTTGTAACTCTTTACATTCTGTATTTTTGAAAATAAAAGTATTTATACTATATTTCTGAATAACATAGAATTTTCTGAACAATAAAAGGACATATTTTTATTGTAATTTAGAATTAAAGGTAAGAGTGTAAAGAGTTAGCTTTTAAACAATATTGTATCAGAATTTCTATTTTATAAAAATCTTGCAGCATAAAAACTGCATAATTAAACACAGTTTTATATAATAATAATAATAATAATAATAATAATAATAATGATAATAATAATAATAATAAAATAATACTAATAATGATAGTAATAACGCGACACTGATATAATTTTCTAGAGTTAATGATCCTACTAATAAAAGAAAAATCACAACCGGCAAGTAGCCATTTACATACTAGTAACAAAAATATGATTAATGTTATAATAAATTATGCCATATCTGGCTTCAGGAATTTTACGAATGGTGTATGACCTAGCTATCAGAATTTATATCTTATATCTGAAAATAGAGATTTTTTTATAAGAAAATAAAATCAATATATTCTATATATTTGATAAAATATGAAACATTTAATTGCTGAATCAAGTAAAATATATGTATAATACTATTATTCAATTTAAAAAACTATTAATCAAATATAATGTGTCAAAATGTTAAAAATATAATCCAAGATTAATTTTACACTATGAAAGTAGCTTTTAAAAAATATAAATATTTATTATTTATTAATGAACTAATATCTTTGAATTGTATTATTGAAATCAATAAGAATTAAAAAATTCTGATAACAAAATAGCCACACTTGATCACAGAGAATACTCTAGAGAGTCTAATTAATCAATATTTATGCACCACTGGAAGGTCTTTCGCAACAACATAACCATCTGCGCCATAATGGTAGAGGTTTTCTTCGTCTGTATAATAAACTGGCACCACCTCTTCTTGTATTAAGTGCACTAACTATTGCTTGATCAAATGCTTCTTTAAGATCATGCTGAGTTAATGCAGATGTTTCCACATAACTTACAGCTTCAACTTTTTGGGCTAATTGATGACCTTGAGTAGTTGTAATTGGTGTTTGTCCATATCTTGCTAGTTGTAACATCAGATGCACATCTGATCTTAAGTCACTCTTTGTTCCTACCTAAAATTATTATTGTTCTTATTTAAATTAACTTTGAAATGCAAATAACTTTCTGTCATTTAAATTTAATTTAAACATTTTGATTATAACAAGATGATTATAATAAGAAAATAATAATCTCATTACCAAAATAATTGGTGCACTAGGACAATATTTCCGTACTTCATTTATCCATCGAGAAGTTACACTATGATAAGAAGAAGGACATACAACACTGAAGCAGACTAGGAACACATCTGTTTCTGGATAACACAATGACCTTAAAGGATCAAAGTCATCTTGACCTGCTGTATCACATAGTTGAACATTTACTGGTTGACCATCAACATTAACAATCACTGCAACATATTAAGAAATTTAAAATAATTAACACAATTCAAAAAATGCAACAAATTTTTCATAAATTCATATCTGGATGGATTTATTATTGTTACATGATTTAAAGAATAATGTGATGCTTACTTATGACATATTTTTTCATATATATAAACCTGTTTAAGAAACAAATTGTAATCTCCTAAGTTTTACAAAATAAAATAATTATTAAATATTACATTTTTTTTTTTAAATTTGTTTATGATATCACTATCATACTTACAATTTTACTAATAAAATATGCAGAAATAATTAATGATTAATAAAACGAATAATGGATTTCAATTTTTTATTATATTTATATTTTACATATTTAATTACAAAAAATAAATTATAACAATTACACTAAGTTTATAAATTATGTGTATAGGAGAACTCACCATTTTCACTATTTCAAATGAAACTTGTCACTATCTGAAATGGACTTACCACTATCATTAGATTTTCAACTAACCATTATAATTATCGAAAGCAGTAGGTATATATTCTCCTGGGAAACCATTTGTGGAATAAGAAACAACTAGGCTGGTTTTTCCAACGGCACCATCACCTACTAGAACAACTTTGATTCTTCTATCAAGTGGAATACCGCTGTGCTCCGTGGTATTACCATTTGAATTCTGATTTTGCGTCGAGCAAGTTGTTCGTTTCGCTTGCATTTGCATTGTTTGTCCATTCTTCAGAAGGGGTTTAGTCCAATTCGTATGGGACGACGGCGGCATTATTTCTCTTTTTACTTTACTATAGCCACGAGCTTTCATACGTGTACTTCCGAAAATACCTTACATATAACCTCTAGCTGGGCAAACAAAAGCGACTGAAGTAACTGTTGCATCTATTACAACAGGTATCTTTTCCGAATCGTCATTTCTCTTTTCTCCCGCTGATACCCGTAGTATGTAAGATTACGAATCAAATTTCCGATAAGGACTCTTCAATACACTCTGACAGATACTGTGTGTATCACTGGAAAACAATGGGAGAACGTATGCCATCCAGAAAAGATAAAAAAGAAAATAAACTGATCCACCTGCCGCGATGCGGAGCCACCTGTTATTACTCTTTTCTTGTGGTAACTACAACCGGTGGCACAGGTACGCTACATGATTGCAGAAAATTGATATTACCTTGATCTTTTGTATTTGTTTTAACTAAATATCTTAATATTTAATTTGTTTAAATATTTATAACTAATTAATTACAACATGATTAAAATAATAGAACTAAAATAATCATTAAATAATTTGAATATTTGCTTTATATATTATAAAATCAAATGATTATATATTATAAAGACAATATCCTTAATAAATGTAAAAAATATAATTTTAGGACAATTTTTACTAGATACATGTTAGTGATATGCGTATGTATTTTTGAAGAATAGCAGTAAATGTATTAATATAACTTGTACAATAAAAATGAAAAAAATTATTTCTATATTTCCTAAAAAATATAAGAAATATTTTTATGATTAAGGATTTAAAATTTTTAAACTTCTAAAAAATTCAGATTTATTAAAATATTTTTCATTAGAACAATGATTATATTGTTTAATATATATTATAAACATATTATAATTAAGTTAGTAATAATAAAAACAATAAAAAATATTTTAGAAGAATATACACTATAATTTGTCATTAGTCTACTCTATATAATTTGTTATATATATTAAATTAAATAAAAATTGCAAACAGTCAAATATTACAAAGTATAATTATTCTATCATCTATAAAACGAAAATATAGTATAAAATTTAATAAAACAAAATACAATATTTTAAATACATAATGAATTAAAATTTATATTTAAATAATAGCTACCTATAACATAACTGTTAATTGATACTAAAATTGTTATAAATAATTTGGTATAGTTTGTTGTAATATATTATAATTATACATTGATTGAATAAAATATTTCATATTTAAGTAAAGTAAATTTATGTAAAAAAATATATTTTTGATTTAGAACTACTAGATGGCGTTTAATATACAAACAATATTGAATAGATGAATTTGTGGTTAATAAAACTTTTTATTTTAATTTATTTTCTTTATTTCAAATTTTTATAATTATTAATGACACTTTAAAATACATTTATAATAATTTTTGAATGCGTATTTAATGTACGTACGTATAAAAATATAAAGTAGTATAGTATTTTGCAGATTATTAGATTTATAAATATATTTCAACAAAATTTATGTATGAAAGTAATTAAAATAAATATATATTAAAAAATTTAAGTATATATGTTTGAACTTTATTATTTATGTATATATTTTTATAGAAATTCGTATATAATTCGACCTAACCTAAGAGTTTAAAAAGTATAAGAATTTAGTAAAATCTAGTTTCAAGATGACTTTCTATAGGATTTGTCGCATAATTCAAAATATGAGGTTTGTATCTTTGTCATTGATTTAGTAAAATTATTTAATATCTAAAGTTATTAAATTGTTTTAGTTGTTGTAAATGTACAGATATATGTACAAAAGAGATATTTAGGAAAATTGTAGTAAATCGAAAATTTTCAAGACCATATATTTCAAATGTAAATAGAACTCAATATAATGATAATTTTTGGTATACAATGTTTATAAAACAACGGAAATGGACTATTCCTATTGGAATTGGAATATCATTATTAGCAGCATTGCAATGGAGACATTTAAAAAAATATCCATATACAATTGAGAACAACAATGTGTATGATTCAATAAATGTTTTTGTGGTATAGTTTTTTAATATAACACCAATATGGTATATTACATTTGAATTTAATGGAATTTAAATTAAGAATTCCAAACAGTACAAGTAAGAAGTTTTATAATTTCAATTAAATATTTGTAAAAATTTTATAGGTAAAGTGTTATTATTTTTTGCCATTTCGAGTAATAAGTAGAATATGGGGTTGGATAGCCAGCGTGAAATTACCAGTTAGTTTAAGACCAACCTTATATGAATTTTATGCGAAAACTTTTGATGCTAATTTAGATGAAATTGATGTAGACTTGTCAGATTTTCCAAGTCTTGTTGATTTCTTTGTTAGACCACTCAAATATGATGCAAGACCTATTAACCAAAATACAAATATTGTATGTATATTGTTTGATATAAGTTAAATAAATGATTTAGGTAAAATAATAATTATGTATAAATTTGTTATAGGTTTCTCCTGCTGATGGAAAAGTATTATATTTTGGACCAGTAACTTCATGTTGCGTACAACAAGTAAAGGGTGTAACTTATAACCTTAGACATTTTTTAGGTGATATAAGTATACCTCATTCAAATCATTTTACATTTACAAAGGATGATGATGATGTTTACATAAAATCCCTTTTAAAAAACCCAATGAATCAGCTCTGTCAATTAACAATTTATTTAGCTCCAGGAGATTATCACAGATTTCATAGTCCAACTGATTGGGAAATAGAATTTCGTAGACACTTTCAAGGTTTATTTCTATTTATTTCAGCAGTTAATTTCAATTTAAGTGAATCTGAGTTAATAAAGTGTCTTTTTCTATTTTAGGAAAGCTTTTAAGTGTTAATCCTAAAATAGTCCAATATTTACCAGATTTATTTTCATTAAATGAACGTGTAGTATATGTTGGTAAATGGGCTGGTGGTTTTATGGCTTATAGTGCAGTTGGAGCCACAAATGTAGGTTCTATAAAAGTCTATTGTGATAAAGATTTACATACAAATACTATTAAATGGCCAGAGACAAAACTTTGGAAAGATATAAGTTTAGGTTGTACGCATTTATCTAAAGGAGAATTGTTTGGTGAATTTAGAATGGGATCTACTATTATATTATTATTTGAGGTTCCAAAAGATTTTAAATTTTCTATAGAAGTAGGGCAAAGAATAAAAGTGGGTCAAGCTTTGAGCGAGTCTATTGTTGAAACTGAAACAAAGCAATATAAACATTCATTATGACAATTAATGACCCATGTCGCACTTGATTGGAAATATGTTTGGAGAATAGATAGATAAATTTTAGTAATTAATATATTAATCCCACTATATAAAAGACTTATTCTTTGTGGCATTATTATTATATTAATAAGGTTCAGACTGAAATTTTCAGTAGAAACATGATTATGAATATAATATAGAACAAAATATAATAAATATTTTTAATATTATGAATTTGTAAAAAATTTAAATTCCACTAAATCTCATTGAATTTATAAATAATATATAACAATATAATAGATAATCATTGATAGGTATCATTTATTTGGAAAAGTTGAATTACTTTATAAGAATTTTTATTATTTGTTCCTTGTATTTTTTAAATATTAATATTAGAACAATATTATTTTCTATATTCTATAAAATATTAGATTAAATGATCATGTTTACAATTGTGAATATGTGTTTGGATGGAGATAGATGTAATGTAGTAAATACAAGAAGACGTTAGTTATATGTTATATAATAAAAATGTAAACAAATGTATATAATATATTTATATTGTTTTTATATTTTAAAAAATGACATAACAATGACGAAATAAAAACATTTACTTACTGCATTACTATTACATTATGACTATTTAATAACCTATACTTGTTATATATTTATATATTTTATTTATAAAGAGATTATTTTGAAATTTTGACGAATACAACTACAATTATACTGAATCATAAAGTTATGTATTATGTTACTATATGATTATAAAACTTCAACATTGTGGAACGTCGAGGGTATGAAGTTATAAAATTTGATATTCTTCAATTTGAGATCGCGGTTTTAGGTTCTTCATGATTCTAAATGTTTTATGAAAAATTTTATAATCCTTTAATATTTCGAAGTGAACATTCTTAATTTTGGAAATATAAACTCAGAGTCTATAATTCTAGAGTGAGATTGATAATTAGAAGCTATCGGAATGTAAGATAGAATTTATGATCTCAGGATCATCTGAGGAACACGTATTTTGTAATTATATATAGCGATTTCCAATGTTTTCTGAAGGCTGTAATTCGACTTATATTTTATTATTTGTTTGATTATTTGATTACATTATTACCTTTTGCTTACAGTAAATATATTTATTTATATTTTTAGTATAATCAGTTGATGACGTGTTATTATTGTTGTTTCTCTTGTATTAATGAATATTTGTGTCTTAATTTCTTAAAACTAATTTTTTAAATTTTATTTATATTAGTACAAAAAACATATATGTGGTAAATGTGATAAATATATTAATGCGTCAGCTGTTTTTAATCAAGTCATAAAATTTCTTTCTGTTTGTTTATAATTCATTTATAACTGCAAATAATTTAATTATTTCTAAAAAATCTTGCCACTTTTTTAATCCTATTGTTAGTTTCAATGCAATGGTTTCTATCGTATATTAGAATTATGTTAAACAATAAATTAAAAAATTAAAAAGGAAGGTGACAGAGGTTGAGAGCCAAAACAGAGGAAAGTCGAAGTTGTCGTCGAGTGCCGGAATCGCGTTACGTCCACGACGCTGTGGTTCAGTAAGCGCCGCGACGTCTACCGCGCACGTTGCAACGTTAGTTTGTTCTGTTACTGTCATAGTATTCCTTAAGTGTGCGCCAATTTTACAAGGGTTACTCTAAAAAATTCTACAAATTATCTTTTAGTTATGTTACGCGCATAGTTATAACGCGTGATTTAAACAAATTTATGCTTAAACAAAATTCTAAAAAGGACGTTGCATTATCTTTTTTTTATTTTTCCCTTAAAGTTAAATTATGGGGCTAGATGGGTGCTGATGGACATTTTCGAGTAACTTTGTCCCTACGAAGGGAACCAGCTGCTGGTCCAGTTTACTGCAAAATGGAAACATCGGCGAGATTTCGACAGTTGAAGACCGTGAAATTGAGCTGTGAGGCTACATATCGTTTGGACATCAGCTTCAAACCGCCGCAATTATTAGAGTGGGTACAGTGAATATAGTAACTGACGACACATTAATCTTTTTTTTCTTTAAATGTAAATTTTTTACAACTTTGTGCTCGATTATATTATTTTCGTCAATCTCTGCTGTTTCCTTTTTATCTGATGAAAAATAATTCGTTTTATAACATAAACATTTTATTCTATGGCAATTTCATTATTGCAATTCTCATATAAACGGAAAATATTTTTAAAGAGAGTCAAGACTCCACAATTGGTCATTACCTCTTGTACTTAATATTTATGCATCATTTTACTTTTCTTGTTATGTACTTAAGATGTCCATCTTGCCGCGGAAATTCGCTATGAGATAAGTTTCTAAGTATTTAATAAATGAGCATTATTCTTATTTACTTTGTTGCTTTTTTCGTTGCCTTTTATTTTTCAATATTGTCCCCTAAATACCTTAATTTTTTAAGGATCTTCAAATAAAATTGCTATTTGCATAAGTACAATCTCCGCGATTTTAACTGTTTTGATATTAAATTATTAAACAGAATCCTCAATGGCGTATATCTGCAATTATAAATTAAATATCTTTTTTAATCTATTGCATTATATTATCATACTCTTTACCATCTTTCTTTTCACTAACCTTTTGTTTTTAATCCATTTTTATTCCAATTTTTAATGATCGTTATACGTGATCGTCAATAGTATATCATGATTTATACTTAATTACAAATCTAAAATCTCCCGTAGTTCGTTTTATACATCAGTCATTCAAGAAATTGCGATATTTTATTTTAGGAGTATCATAGCTCCTAAAAAGAAAGGTACACAAAAATTAAACTTTTACATCTAGTCAATAAATGAATATATACAAAAAGATTCGTAAAAAAGGATAAATTTTCGACATGTCCATTTTTTACACGTGTTTAAGGGCGTGAATCATTGTTAGAAAACAGTAAAATGATTTATGCATATCTTACGAAGGATCGAACCTGTATAACCTGCAGGCGTTGTGGCGAATGCTCGTGTTTTGTCGTACATGTGAATGATCGACGATAAACACGTATATTCCATGTATACTATCACGTGTTTAACGCGATTACATACTATACATACTGAATAATTTGGACAATTTTTTTTTTTTTAAAATACGGTATTGGTGCTATGTATTTCTACGCCCGTTTCTACTGTTTTCTTTCTTTAATAAATAAAGAGGTTAAAAATTCTTCTATAGACACCTTTAATATTTCATGCACAGTTGTAACATTTTATAGCGCCATACTACGAATACGACAGTGAGATGAAAAATTGAAGAATTTTTATATAGTTCAGCAGAGTTATACAGCTTCTACGCGAAGGCAGCTATTGAAATTTTGTCTCATATTCGTGTCTTGTATTTATATGCCCCCGATATGTTATGCCATACTGGCGAATTTGATTATTTTTCAAAATTCTTTTATTTAGCGCAATTTAATGTCTCCGTCAAACGAAGTAATTTCTATATCAATCTCTCTTTTTCTTCTATTCTGTTACAAGATATGGCATTGTTATTACATTGAATGCCTTATGATGAGATTATAGAGAATAATACTTCCCTTACAATAGGATTTGTGCGAAGAATAGTATATGCCATCTAACATTAACGTGGAAATAGATCGCGTGGGTCTGAAAGGCTTAAAAGGAATTTCGAGATAAAACAATTTCAAATTGTTAAAAATCGAATGGAACCACGACGTAGAAAGCAAAACGGACTCGTTGAATTACCACGAACATATTTTTGAAGATCGACAATTCTCCATCGATAGTGCTTCACCATCGATCACTTAACTCAGGAGTAAGAATAATAAGATACGATCTTTTTGACCTTATAAAGCTTTATGCGCTTCATGGCATGGCGAATGATCTTAAAAGCGAGGAAAAACGACATTAAGAAAGATCAATCTCCATCTAGCGATTCTTGGAACTTATCGTCGAAGAAAAGTTGGAGAAGAAGAGGCAGAAGTATTGTCTCTCCGGATATCGCTCTGAATAATTATAGCGAAGAGCTTCTAAACGGCGATTTTTGCGGTTTAACTGGATCAAGGGGATCGAATATCGATGATAAATCTTAATTCACTGCTAGTTCCTTCGAGTACCGGGGATTACAGAGTGTCATTGTAGCACAGAATACTAATAGTCTTTTGTTGGCCGTAATACAGGAAATAACCGGCCACGATGATAAACGCGTGGACGTTAAAGTCTCGTTTTCCTCTGATCGATAAAGGATCACTTGGTTGAAATGACTTAACCTTTAATGGTTACGTCGTGATCCCCGAGAAGAACATCAGAAATTCAACAGTCTTGTCGATCTTGAACAATCAGGTCATAAATATAGTCGTAGAATATTTCCTCCAATTTTCCTGCAAAAGACAAGAAGGGAGATTTTTGTACAACAGGGAATAGAACGAAAGATGGATAGAATAATTTAGGAATATATAACACTTGTCGACGTTATACTATCATAAATTTGGAAATTAATAACTAAATTTTATTGACTAAATTTTGCCAGTTTTCAATCTTTTGTAAAAGGACCTGAAAAATTTCCAGACGTAGAGAGACTTATTCCATATATTATATATATAATAAGATTGTTATATAGATATGGTTTATCTAAATTATTTAGCCTTTCTTCAGATGGACATGTATATGTGGATAGAGATTTAGTAATACTGTTTGCTTGAGAAAAGGAAAGGGTGAATACTCGATGAAAGTTACATGAGAAAAAATGGGAAGTATTAAGAAGGGTGGTTATAAGAAATTCATGTACCCGTGGGGGTTGGAAACATGTCAAGAAGTAAGGAATTAAATTTTCTGGTGGGCTGGCCTGTCGGCGACTGAACGTTTACCCAAAGAATGTTAGTAACCGAAGGATGTTTGCAAAATAAATATTTGCAGCTGGTGTTGAGAGCTCTCAACCATAGAGAGCTTCGAGTACACTAGGGGTATGAGAAGTATCGAATTAGGGTCTAAGAACAAATTGGGGTTACCGTGCCGGCGATATAGGAAAAAGGGATACAAAACAATTGCAGGTCTACGTACGTGCAAGTGTGTCAAAGAGGTGAGAGCAGACCAGGTGTTACCACGTACCTAAGAAAACGATACGTGTATCGCCTTGAACTGTAAAAGTTGCAGATCGATTACGATCTTCATTCGGTTAATGCTCGAAACAACTGATATTTGATGGACGTACACGAACTATGGATATTTAAAAAGCCCATCGTTGATGTTGAGGAAATTCGTTTTGAAAATCGCTGGATCATAGAAAATGAAGATGAACGATTCGGAAATCTTCTTGAGAGTAAGATCATGTAACTCATCGAAAATTTATGGTAACGCGAAACAATCGAGTATACTATTTGGATCACACTCTAGAAGACTTCTAGAAAGGAGAATCTTGAAATTGTTGTTAAGAAAACTCGCTTTTGCGAGTTGTTAGAAAATTGATAGAACCATCTATGTATCGTGTTAAACTGGTCTTCAGATTTTATCGTTAAAATTACTTAAGAAGAAGAATTATAAAACAAGTATATGACTTTATGACTTCTTGAAGAATTACTAGAAATTTCAAAGGAATTGCGCCAACTAGAATTTCGAAAATGTTCTCAAAAGCATCGAGGGAGTTACTTCATCAGGTCTCGAAGTTGGATCTAGAGCAAGGGTAGAATGGAATGAAAATTTGATTGATAAAGTTCATTGAAGTCAGACTAGCGATAAATAATTGCGAGGCTCGACGTATCCTACTAAACTTTTTGTACTAAAAAGATGTTGTGCAATAAAATAGACACGTCAAGAGACGAGCATAATCATACACGACCTGCTGAAATATCGACTGGCGCTATACACCGCGGCGCCATTCTCTAACGCGCGATTTGCAAGAAAATCAGCCGTTGCTCGTAACACGAATAGCGGCTAAAATTACTCGGCAATTATGATATGCAAAGTGTTGCTGATGCTAGAGAATAAGCATGGTTTCGCTCGGATAATGTTTAAATAATCATGGTCAATTAACAGACGAAGGAACCTGCGAGGTACCAGGAAACCAAGTCCTCCAGAGAACGCAATGGTATTTCTTCTTACATTAGACACGGAATTGTTCCACTCGTTATTATTTGGCTACTATTAACAGAAACAATTTTCCTTTTATTACCTATAACGGCAAATTAAGAAAACAAATAATAAAGTAACGGCAACGTTAGGTTTCTGAATTTTAAAAAATTTTAATACCGTACCTCTTAATTGTTGCTTAACTCTTTATATTCAAAGCAAATTTATACTTTCTGTTTTGCGAAGTTCATCGATTCCGTAAATGCGTGATTCAATTCACGAATGGAAACATGAACTCGCGTTACTTTTCTCGTTATCGATGATATTTACTCTAAAAATATACAAAATGGCATTTACAGCGAAATTGTTAATATCGAGATACGTGGTCGAAGAAAGTCTTAAACAGGTACATTCAATTCAGCGAATTATTCTGCAAATTGCCCGGCGATCAATGCGAAATTGGTTTCCTTTTCTTGTACCTCAGTATACACTGGTATCTCTAAAAATGTTCTATCTTTTGTTTCTGGATACACTACCTGTTTCGTCATTCACTAGAAAGCATTTTAAATCGAGATCTTCATGCTGTCCAAGACCACATTTTTTATCGATTATTTTTCGGCGTGTATTAAGAGGGAAATGTTTTGGAAAACGTGTCATCTCGTTCGCAAATAATTTGTTTGCCAATCCGACAAATATATACGTTGCTCGAGCAGGTAAATATTCTACCGAAAATTCGAAACAACTCTAAAGCTTTCCACGGTAAAAATCGCGTCGAATTTTCAGTATCTGAAAAAATCAGAACGGATTAATTAACGGGTTTCTTAATTTTCATACGTTGCTCATATATTTTCTCATTAAATTCTGAAACTCGATAAAATGTATAAAAAAATAACGACAAATGAGCCACTCGATATTTATCGTACAGCAGTGACATACCTGTAAATTG